CGGCGGCGGCTCAGTGATTGGGGCCGCCAGGTATCCTTTTTTAAGAGACAGAGACAACAAAAAACCAAAAAGGAGAAAATGCCAAACTCTCTCCTCTCAAGTCAGTATCAACACACTGCCACCCTACAGGACAAAGCAGATCTGCCCTACAGTTTCCAAGCCTCTGAGTCTTTATGGAAGTTAACATTCATATCTTTCTCCTATAGAGTGGCTACTGAATTCAAACCACCAACTTTTAGTTAGAAGCTAAGAGCTTTAACCACTGTGTTAACAAGGCTTCTTAATAGACACTACAACAAAAAGAAAAAAGGTAACATGTATAAGGGGGGGAAATCATTCTCATTACTTTTCTTGTTAAATAATTTTACCTTTTCAACAATCTCTTGAATTTGTTTTAATCCCCTCTCTACTGTTCCCCTATTGTTCATAGGTTTTCAGAAGCCTTTTACATAAGAAGTAAATGGCCAATCTTGCTTTCTAGTTTGTCTTTAATCTGGGAGCTCTACTAAAAAATCTGTCCACCATCAATAACCCATGTGGCACCTGACACACCAATGGCACAACTTTCAGTATCACAGCAACCCACAAGTTAAATATCTCAGTACAGCAAATTGACAAACCAGTGTTGTTCCAATTAGAACCATGTTCTCCCCAAATATAACAAACTGACAACTTAGTTTGTACCTCTGATAGCAAATCAGTCTTTACACCAACTTTTAATCATGAAAGCCCACCTATCAAGTCCTAATTTGAGACACTCCCTGTCCACAACTGATTAATTATTTAAAACTATATCGCCTACAATTGATTGTTAATTAAATCAAAAGACCTATCAGAACACAAATGACTGTTAATAAATAAAAAGACCTACCTTCCAGATTCCAACTGCATCAAACAAGAGGCTCTCAGGACCTAACCAACTTTTTTTTTTTAGTTTTGTTTTTTATTTCTTTAAGAAAGACCCCAACCAACTTTTCCAGGTCCTAATTGGTTTAAACAAGAGGGTCCCAGCCTACAACTGACTGTTCATCAAATAAAAAAGAACAAACAGCCCACAACTGACTGTTAATAAAAAAGACCTGCCAGCTCACAAAAGACTGTTTTAAGGTCTTTTAGATTAATCCCTTCAGTAGACAAATATTAAGGTATATTTTGCCCTTACAACAATTTGTCTAGCCTAGTGCTAAGATGATGATATCCTTGATGTCATCCCACAACTCCTCTGGTCTTTCATCACTGGTGTGTTCACTGCCTCAAACTTGTTCTCAAGTTTATTTTTAAATTCATGCAACAATAAATGTATATTTTTAAAAAAGTGAACTGGGAGAGGGGGAAGGGTGGAAGTGGGAGTAAAATATGCAACAAAGAATGAATGAAATCTAACTTTTCTGTAAACTTTCATTAAAATCACAATTAAAATACAAATTTTATTTTAAAAGGATTATTTTTAAATTCAGGTGAGATAGACTGAAGGTAATATTTTGGGTTTTGTGGGATTAATTTTCTTCTGCTTCAATTTGAACTTGAACATGAATAACTGAGTCTGTTCCACAGTCAGTACCTGGCCTGGTTTTGACTTCTGATACTGAGTTTCTCCAATGATTTTTTTCCCCACTGATGTAATCAATGTGAGAGTATAACCCATCAGGTGCAGTCCATGTATAAAGTAGCCTTTCATGTTTTTTAAAAAAGGTATTTGCAATGAATAAATCATTCAATGTACAAAATGTCAGATAGATCCTGGCTGAAAGCAGAGAATACCAGAAAAATGTCTGTTTGTGTTTTATTGACTATGCAAAGGCAAATGCATAATGTGGAACTTATCAAATTATGGTTACCATACATGTTGGGGAGGATGTGGCGAGATAGAAACTCATACATTGTTGGTATTATAAAATAACACCACTCTGGAAGGCAGTTTGGCGTTTCCTCAAGAAGCTGAACATAGAAATTCCATATGACCCAGCTATTCCTCTGCTTCAAATATACTCCAAGAAAATGAGAACTGAGGCACAAATGGAGACTTGTACACCAATGTTCACAGCAGTGTTATTCATCATCATAAGAACATGGAAACAGCCCAAAAGTCCAACCACAACTGAATGGATTGAGATAATATGGTACTTTCACACAATGGAATACTATAGAGCACACAAAGGTAATGATTTTATAAAGCATTACCTAACTTGGGAGGGACTGGAGAGCATTATCCTAAGTGAACTAACGCGGTCCCATAAGGACAAATATTGTGTAAGACCATTATTGTAGGCTGTATATGTGGGTCCAAGGGGGGAGCGGGTGTGCATAAGGGTGAGGATGCATGAGAGTTGGGGGGTGAGGGGTGGGTAAAGGAAATGGAAAAGATCTGGTGTGAAAA